AGTTAAAAATGGGGATGGATAGCCGGGCTCAGTGGCTCAACCTGTCATCTCGCACCTTTGGGAGGCTGAGGTGGGTGGATTGCCTGAGCCCGCAGGTTCGAGACCCGCCCGGGCAACTTGGCGAGACCTCATCTCTACAATAAAATCAAAAATTAGCCAGGCGTGGTAGCGCACACCTGTCGTTCCAGCTACTTGGGAGGCTGAGGCGGAAGGATCGCTGGAGCCCAGCAGGTTGAGGCTGCGGTGGCCGGGAGCGGCCGCTGCACTCCGGTCTGGGCGACAGAGTGAAACTCTAACTCCAAAAGGGGATGGATGGGCAGAGGGTGGAGAGCTGGTCCTATCCAGTCCCAGGAGGTGGACCTCTCTGATCTTCCCTATCCAGGGAGCGCCCAGGCCAGGCAGGGGTCCTGTGTGTCCTAATCCAGGATGGGGCCCAGCTCGATGGGAAAAGAGGTCTCATGGCTCTTACCTAAGCTCTTGGCCTCTCCCCAAACTCTCCAACCATCCTGAAAGCGTTTGAGCACTCCCACACACCAGTGCTACCTGCCTCCGCAGACGGCCCACTGATGTGGCTGAGGGCATCAGGTGAGCCCTGGGCCCCAGACTCTACACCCAGGCCCCGGAGCTGGCTCACCCCAGTGGGCTCAAGTGGACCAGAGGAGAGCCCCTGCCTGGATCTCCTTGTGATCCCAGCTGTCAACCCAACAAGCAGGATCGGGAGACCTGGGTTCTGAGTTGGCACTGTCACAGATTCACTGCGTGACCTTAGCCAAGCTACTTCCGCACTCTGGACCTCGGGTTCCTGCGTGCAGTCTGCAAGACAGTGTGAGGGTCGTTTCCAGGGTCCCCTCAATGTTTGACGAGCCTAATTCATAGGTGTATTCACAGGGAAGCCAAGGACTACTCGCAGGATTCCCAGGGGAGGAATTCAGGTGACATGCAGAAGGGACTTCCTGCAGCCATGCTCAACCTGTGCCTCAAAAGGCCACGCCTGCTTTGGAGATTCTGCTCCTGCCAGACAGCTGGGGTCGGGGCTGGGGTGGGGGGTGTAGGGAGGGTAGGGTATGGGGATAGGGTAGGGTGTAGGGCCAGGCTGGGCAAGCAGAAAGGAGATGGAGGAGGCGGGTGAGGTTGGGAGGTTCCCACCCGGGTATTCTTTCCTCTGTGAAGTCACATTTATATGTGCACGTTTGTACAGGGAGTACTTTTGTACAGGCCGGCACACACGTTGTGTGATGAATGCAGGTAGGTGTGTGCCTTAGCCACGTACGTGTGCGTTTTTGTGGGTGGGAATCTACCTATCTGAACTTGATGTGTGGGTGAGGACCCAGAATTGTGAGGTCCAGATGTTCGCGTCTGTTGGTATGTGCCTGGCTAGGGCGTGTGTGTGTGTGCTTGGGTGGACCCTGTGTGCTTCCAAGTGCCCTGGGTGCTGGGGAGGCCAGAGCTGTCCCACCGCTTTCCCCATGGGCAGGAAACTCTCTAATTTTTCTATCCCACGAGGCCAAAGCCCACCTGCCCTTGGTCACTGGGGGGCTGTAGCCAGGCCCCCAGGAGGAGGAGAGGTTCCATCCAAGTAGGTGCAAGATGTGACTTGGCCATGGCATGAGAACAGGGTTGGGCTGGCAAGCCTTTGGAGGCCTCTCTCAGGGTTCTTGGCCGAGGAGCAGGGGAAGTGGGTTCTACTCTAAGACCAAGCATCAGGTCCAGCTTAGGAGGCTGCTCTTGCGGCTGGCAGTGGTCTTGGCACAGAGTGACTTGGCGGAGCTCAGGAAACATCCTGGGATGGAGGCCAAAGGAGCTACCCCTCGGGCCTCAGAAACCCAAGGGCCCAGCGTCAACTCCAAGGCCAGACCCCCCTCCTCCCACATTCTGTGCACGCAGGAACCTCATCCTCCCAGTGCCTGCTCTGCCTCCTGCTCTGGGTCCCGCCCCATGCCACTAACTCGGAGGCTGGAGCAGGCACCTTTGAGCAGGGAGGAGCCCTGGATCAAGGGGCAGAGCTTGTGAACACCGTCGCGGCCCTGCCACATACCGCGTGTGACCCCTGAAAGTCACTTTGCGCTCCGGGCTTCCGTTTCTGCCTGTCTAACCCATTGCCCGCGCCTCAGCCAGGCTCTCATCACTTAGCATCTCTTCGCCATGCTTGCGTCCCCCACCTGCCAGCTGGCCTCTGCCTTCCTGCCTTGGCTCGGCTGGGGCCCCGTCTTCCCGGCCTAGCCCCTGCCTGGTTGACTCTGCTGCAGAAACTCTCTTCTCTGACCCTCTGGGGTGGGTTGCCGCACACCTTCATAGTACTCTCCCTCTATCCATGTAGCAAGTCTTATCGTTATCTGCAAGCCCTTATCTCGCCTCACAGTTCCCTGCAAATCTGCTTCCCTCCCGTCCCGAGTTCCCTGGAGTCCAGCAGCAAACCTTTGTTCTCCTGGACCCGCAGAGCTGAGGAGCATAGCCTGACCCAGGCGAGATTTGTCGAGATAGCAAGCCATGATTCTGGTTCTCTGCTGCCCTCAGCTGACAGAGTAGGGGAACTGATAGAGTCTGGAAGCTTCTCTGGCTGCAGCGAATCGCTCCTGCCTAGGGATGGGGAGAGGTTTCTAGAATGCGGGAGTGACGCCTTTCTCTCACGCTGAGCTGTTCTCTCCATCCTCCTAACAGCCCGAGGACAATGGAGAGTGTTACCTCCTTCCCGAGTTCTACAGCCCTTCTCTTTCCAGGGAAGGGTGAATGCTCAGCATCCAATCCCCAGCTCCTCAGCCCACGATCCCCAGCCAATCCCCAGCTAACAGGCTGATGCCGCCTCTGTGCTCCTGAAGTGTTACTTCTCCCCACCACAGCCTCCAGCACACGGAATGGCAGTTTGTTTGGTTTTTTTGAGTTGGAGTCTCGCTCTGTCGCCCAGACTGCAGTGCAGTGGCCGCTCCCAGCCACCGCAACCTTGACCTGCCGGGCTCCGGCGATCCTTCCGCCTCAGCCTTCCGAGTAGCTGGAACTACAGGCGTGAGCTACCATGCCCAGCTAATTTTTGATTTATTGTAGAGACGAGGTCTCACCAAGTTGCCCAGGCATGTCTCGAACCCGCGGGCTCAATCCACTCACCTCAGCCTCCCAAAGCGCGGGATTACAGGCTGAGCCACCAAGTC